TTGGTTATTGATCCCATTGCTTACAGTTTCAGTCGTACATGAGTGGAAGCATTACGTGCTTCAGTTGGAAGCACTTAGTGGATGTAACTCCTCAATTATAGGGAATAGTTTTCCACATTTCACAAAACTCAAACTGATTTATGATGTTAACGTGCTGACCCACCCTTATCACTATCAGTTGAGTCCAATAAGGATTCTTACATTTTAAACTTAATTTTTTGACTTTCGAGCTATGACCCATTTGTCCGACATTCTATTAGTAAAAAGCATGCCCTTGAATTTCCAACCTGTGTTGAGCTGAAACCACCCTATTCATAATATTGGTGCACTTTACATTCAGACTAACACCCAAACCACCATTAACACCACCACCACAACCATTACCATCACTTCTACCACCCTTGTCACCATGTTTGTACACCTCAGATTTAGCCTAAACAAGACCTTAGTAAGTGATACTTTGATTCACTTTTAAGAGCAAAAAGAAACTAATTCAAACTTTTGAAACTGAGCATAAACAATTACATTATACTTTCTTATAATAAACCTCAAACGATAAATTATAGTGGTTCTAAATTCAAAACAAGTGTATAACTTCAAGTGTACACAATGTTATTTAAACAGCTACACTAAAGTCTAAGGTGTTCCAATTGGGAACCATTACTTTAGTCTGAAACTAGGGGGATTATGGAACTATAGATAAGCTACAATAACAATTATGATATTTTAATTTATTTACTAAGCTGCCACTAGATTGGGAATTTGATTTTATTTACTGAATTTCTACTAGAAGCGGGCCCAATACATTTCTACCATTGCCTAAAATAAGGGAGAGAGTATAGAGGGATAGGTATGGGTGTTTGATTTTGTGAAAGAAAAGCCTGACATGCAGAGAAGGGAGAAAGTAGGTTTATTATCAGTGAGATTGAGGGATGAGTATGAGATTTTCTGATTTTGTTTCTTTTAGTCGAGACTGACTCACTCCTTCATCACTTGGTTTGAAACACCTTTCTTCTTTTCCCCTTTTTCTCACATATTCTTCACAACTTCCAGCTCTCAAACATCTCACTCTTTGACCTATCAATCTTTTCCAACTTAGGGCTCCCAAATACCCTTTAAATAAGATAAGTCAATATGACGGTTTTTATTAGTTGATATATAAGGGGATTTGAATTCTAACACTTAACTAGGGAGTTGATTGATGAGGTATACTGCACTTAACACACTTGAGGCCAAAATTGTTTTTGGAATGTTCATGTGAATCATAAGTGCATGAGTTTTCTCTAGTGGATCCCTATTTTTCCTCTCGGCCACCCCACTTTGTTAAGGTGTGCCAACACAACTAGTTTGATGAAGAATGTTATTTGTGCTCCAGTATTGTGATCCAGTAATCAAGGCTCTCGTGCATGTATTGAACTTTAAGAAGAGAATGATTTTCTCCTTAATTAAATTAAGTGTTAGGCTTGGTCATGTTGAGAGAATCCACGATTAGCAACGTCGAGCAAATTCGTTGCCCTTGGTTGAGTGATTCCCAAGTTCTATCCTCGTAGAGACGTGAGCGAATCCGTCCCCCCTGGTTGAAAGATTCCTAGGTTATCTATCCTCATCTCCTTGAGACTTCCTTACTTTTACTGTGGCAAGTGGCATCAAAGCAGGTTTTCTGCTGCGTTAAAAGACCATGGGTAATATTTTCTATCCATTTGAATATCAAATAGTTGATTAGATTAGTTTGGTAGATTGGAATTCTTCGTAAATTTATGATGAGTATATTGATGATGATTCATCAAGCTCCAGTGCACATTCTTCGATGGTGACTATGGAACGTCTTGCAAGGGCATTAGAAGATGCATAATTCATATTGAACTTTGATCTTGAGGGGCTTTGTTTTCTTAGTGCTTAGAAAAGCCTTAACCCAAGCCATGCTAAATGGGCGTCTTACAAACATTTCTATGGAAGAGAAGGAAGGTTTTCATCTCAAGAGTCTTTGAAGAAAGATACTATTTATGAATACATTGATTTTATTGGTTTTGATATTTTTAATTGGAAGACTTCTCAAGTTTTGGTTGATTTAGTCAATCAAATGAAGATTGATATCAATTGGATTGCAAGATTTGTCATGGAGCATGAATTTACCATTTCGAGAATAAGGAAATATTTCAAGTATTTATTCGTGTGGAAAGGCAAAAATCAATTTCAAGATTACAATGGAGTAAATGAAGATTTAAACTCAAGGACGAGTTTCTTCGGAGAAGATGATAATGATGCAGTAATCAAGGCTCTCATGTATTTATTGAAATTTACTAAAAGTCTTATGGGTATAGGAACCATCAAATATATTTAATTGTTTTTTTTTCTTTTGAAGAAGTACAATATTCATTGAAGATTGAAATACGTACAAATCAATGATAAGGTGCTTACAGTGGGCCTCAATAAAAACCTTGTCAGGGCTTTCAATCCGATCGAAAGGAAAAAGAGTGTCTCACACCAAATTAACTACTAGTACTATCCTCCAATAATAATTCAAAAATTACATCAGGAGGCTCTTCGAACCAAGAGATTGGGTGATCAATAGTTAGACTAAACCTTGCAAGGTGATAAGCTACCTCATTTGTCTCTCTTCGACCAAAAATAACTTTCCATTGCCTGAACTCATGCAGAAGCTTCCTTGTATCCTCAAACAGATGCCCATAATGACCCATTTTCATCTCATTTTGCATCAAAATTACACTTTATCCTCCCAAAAGCCAGAGTTTGCCAATGAAGTATTCGCACCGAGGAGTGTTGCGATACAGTATCATTCAATTTTTTAAATTTGGCCAGCCACGTTTGTGCTTTGATTTGGGTATCCAACGGAGAAACATCAACAACATTCCAAATAAAGTCATTATGTACCTTCCAAATACTCCAAACTAGAACAAGGAGTAGCTCAAAGCTTTCCTTAGATACTTTCTATGCCATATGCTCCAACCACCTACCAATCCTGCCCTCACTTCCAATAAACGACTGAAGTCCCAACGGACTTCCAAACCACACAGCTGCTGCTCTAGAACACGTTAATAATGCATGTTTTACTGTCTCATCTTCTTGATCACAAAATCTGCAAGTAGCCTCCATAAGTACTCGTCTATTCTTTATATTCATTTTGGAGGGCAACGCATTCATATACCCATGCCATACACAAATTTTCACTTTCCCCGGAACTTTAGCTCACCATAAGGCTTTCCAAAGAAATTTTGTGTTCTCATTAACCGTCGATCCCGTGGGCTCATCACCATTCATTCCCTGGCATGATCTTGCCACAAAATACGCACTCTTAGTTATGAACAACCCCTTTTGTTCTTTTGCCCAAATCAAAGAATCAGCCAGATGGAATTAGCTCAAAATGATGCTCAAAATCAAATCTGCTTCCTCCTTCAAAAACCATCTACACACTAAATTCGAGCTCCACCGAACTCCATCATCCTCTACCATCAAAGATCTCACCGTAAGAAATGGGTGCACCTTTATTGGTAAAGGACTGAGGAGTTGATAGAAATGCTCTCGTGGTAGCCAATTATCCCCCCAAATGTGAATTCATAGACCATCACCCACTCTCTATCTTGCACCTTGAAAAATAATTATTCGAGATGCCACCACACTGCACCAACAATAACAAGAATTAGGTTTAACAGGAGCCTGCAAGAACTCTATGGTATGATAATACCGAGCTTTGAAAATTCGTGCAATAAGAGAATTAGGTTGCACTAATAGTCGCCACCTTTGCTTCGCAAGCAAAGCAAGATTGAAAGCATGTAAACCCTTAAATACCAAACCACCTTTTGGTTTACATAACCGCTGCCATTTCACCCAATGTATTCTATGCTTACCTGCTTCCCTTTCCCACCAAAACTGTGCCACCATTTGGTTTAGCTCATCACAGAAAGATTTTGGTAGCAAGAATGTCTACATCATATACAACGATACTGCTTGTGCCATCGTTTTTATCAAAATTTCCTTACTCGCACTGCTAAGCCACAATCCACGCCAACCATTCAACTTTTTCCATAACTGATCTTTAATATAAGCAAATGTATCTTTCTTGGACCCAGGGGCGGATCTATTAAGGGACCAGAGTGGTCCCGGGACCACCCGAAACTCGGAATAATGGCTGTGAAGATCTTTAAGGACCATCCATGTTAGTGATGTTGCACCAGTGATGATGTGCAAGTGATGTTGCACCAGTGATGCTGCACAAGCGATGTTGCACCAGTGATGGTGCATAATGACTTGGCCAAAATGACATTGTTTTGAGCCAAGTCATTAAAAAAAATTAAAACGTCACTCACATGAGAACCCTCACACAATAGAGCACTCAACTCCTTTATGCGATAGAGCAATCAGAACCTTCACTTTACCACTAATACCTAATCATCTACCGCTCGGCCTTCTCTTGTTCCTTACGGCATCGATCAACTTTCTGCTGCACTTTAGTTTCTGTTCACCGTTGCACTGATAAGCGAGGCGACAATATCTCTGGTGAAAATCTGTAACCCCTTTGCATTTATTCTCCGTGTAAAGCTTTGGTCTGGAGGCTGGCTGCTGGTCCTCTTCTTCTTGGTCGAAGAGGTTTGTACTCTCTTTGACTCTGTCCATTAAATAATTTTGCCATCCACTATCTGATATTAAATTATATTGTGGTGTTAGATATTTAAATAATTTTACCATCCACTATCTGATATTAATTTATTTGTGGTGTTAGATATTTTGTTTAAGAAGTATTTTTATTTTTAATGTTTGGTGGTGAATGGTGAGGAATGAAACTTTTAATGTTTCTTTGAAGTGATGGCAGTATATTTATGGCATGCTTGTCTTTGGCATTCATAATGTTAGAATCCCACGGGCACGAACCTAATTATAAATTTATAAATGAATCTGATTTCTCATTTTTCATATAATATTTTTGTAGTTTCATCAATTGATATAGATTTTTTTATTAATTGATATGTGTAGAAATTAGAAGTATGGAAAGATATTACAAGCGAAAATCATCATCGATTAGTTCGGACAATCATATTCCAAATAGTTCATCTCCAAACTTGGATAGTTCCAATCCTATTCCGAACAGTTCCCCTCCAATTCCAAGTAGTTCTAATCCAATTGAGGGTAATTCCACTCCACAACAAAATGAGTTGAAAGTTGATTTGGATAATCTTGAGAGAGACCCGGGAAAGAGAATTCCAATGAAAGATTATCCTCCAGATATTCGAGATGAGGTCCAAAGAGCACATATATTGATGGGGCCTTTTAGAGCTAAAGATCATGATTTTCCATTCACTTTGCATTCGAATAAAAAGCGACGGTTCGTTGATAATTGGTTGAAGGAATTTCATTGGTTGGAATATAGTATATCTAAATATGCTACATTTTTCTTTTATTGTTATCTATTCAAAGTCAACTTTGAACAATCAGGCAGTGACGTCTTTACTGAGGTAGGCTTTCAAAATTGGAAGCATGCAAGAGCTTATTTTGAAAAACATGTGGGAATGGTTGGTAGCTTTCACAATAAAGCTGTTGAAGCTGCTGGTAATCTAACGAATCAAAAGACACATATTGAAACAGTTGTGGTCAAACAATCAGAAGAAGCTCGTATGGCTTATCGCACTTGCTTGAATGCATCAATTGATTGCACTAAGTTTTTGTTGCGACAAGGTCTTTCATTTCATGGTCATGATGAAAGTGACATTTCAAACAATAGAGATAACTATTTGGAGCTCTTGCAATTCCTTGCGGATCATAATGAGAAAATACAGGTCGTATTGTTAGATAAAGCTTCGGGAAGTCTCAAGCTAATAGCTCATTCAATTCAAAAAGATCTTGTTCATTCATGTTCTATTGAAACCATTCAAACTATCATAAGTGATATGAAGAATGCTAGGTTCTTTTCTCTATTGGTTGATGAGGCACGTGATGTTTCAATGCTAGGTTATTTTCTCTATTGGTTAATGAGGCACGTGATGTTTCTATAAAGGAGCAAATGGCGGTGGTTTTGTGTTATGAGGACAAAAATGGGAAAGTCATTGAAAGATTTGTAGGAATTCAACATGTTCCCGACACCACTTCAAACATAGTAAAGGAGTCTATTAATGCCTTCATTCATTTCAATGAGTTGAGCTTCTCCAATTTACGAGGGCCAGGTTACGATGGTCTAGTAATATGAAAGGTGAGTTCAATGGACTCAAGATAAAGATTTTGAATGATCAACCTTGTGCATTCTACGTTCATTGTTTTGCTCATCAACTCCAATTAGCTCTTGTTGCTGTAGCAAAGGATCATGTTGATGTTAACACATTTTTCCTATTGGCTAATAATGTGGTAAATAATATTGGAGCTTCATGTAAGCGTCGTGATGCACTTAGGGAGATGCAACAAAAAGAACTAATGAAAGCTCTTGAAAATGATTCTCTTATGACGGGACGAGGCTTAAATCAAGAACTAGTCTCAAACGTGCCAGAGCTACAAGATGGAATTCACATTATGGTACTTTGATTAGTTTGATTACTATGTTCACATTCATGGTCAATGTCCTTGAAATGATTATTGATGAGCCGAAGCAAATAGGTTATTGAAAGACATACAATCTTTTGAGTTTGTGTTTCTCCTATTTTTGATAAAATCTATATTGGGAATCACAAATGATTTATCATAAGCATTACAAAAGGATGATCAAGAGATTGTGAATGCAATGGCTTTAGTCAACACATGTAAATAACAACTACTCTACATGAGGAATGATGAGGGGTTTGACCTTTTGGTTGACAAATTATTGTCATTTTGTGTCCAACATCATATTGAGGTTATTAACATGGATGAGACATATGTAGCTTATGGGAGATCGCACCGTAATACCCATAAAGAGACCAACCGTCATCATTACAAAGTGGAGCTCTTTTTTGTTGTCATTGATTCCCAGCTTACAGAGTTAAATGATCGCTTCAATGAAACAAGTACCAAATTGCTCATTTGTTTGGCTAGTTTGAGTCCAAATGATTCTTTTGCAGCTTTTGACAAAGAAAAGCTACTTCGCCTTGCTTAATTGTACCCTCAAGATTTTACGAAGCAAGACCTATTGGCACTTGAATATCAACTCGATATTTATATTCATTATATGCATTCGAGAAGTGACTTTTCTTAGTTGCAGAGCATTAGTGATCTTGCTAAGAAAATGGTGGAAAAAAGGTTGCATGAAGTATTTCAATATGTGTATTTACTTATTGAATTGGTTTTGGTTTTACCTGTTGCAACTGCAGCAGTGGAGAGAGCATTTTCCTCCATGAATATCATTAAGAGTCCACTCCGCAACAGAATGGGGGATCAATGATTAAATGATAGCTTAGTTGTTTACATTGAGAAAGATGTTTTTTCTTGTATTGACAATGAAACTATCATGACACGTTTTCAAAGTATGAGATCCCGTCGTGGACAAATTTAGTATTGCTAGCTTGTTTAGCACAAAGATTATGAATGAAAATTGTAATTTGCCATTTATTTTTTCAATGATATTTTCGTCTTGTTTCTTTTTTTTTTTTTTTGGAGCTTTTATATTGGGGCCAACCTAAGTTAAAATCCTTGATCCGCCACTGCTTGGACCTACTGATAAATACTGGTAGCCCGAGATATCGGTCATGGTACTCCACAGGCTCCATCCCTAGGCAAATCGACTAATAACTGGGCATCCATCTTCATGAATAGAACACTCCTGAATAAAACTCCTGGCAAATATAAAACTATCATCCGCAAATAGTAAATGATGAACACTTGGTGCCCCTTTACAAACATGAACCCCTTGAATTCGGCTTTGTGATTCCCAAAAATCAAATAAAGTCGATAAGCCTTTTGCACATAAAACAAATAAGAACAGTGACAATGGATCGCCTTGGCGAATTCCCCGCTTCGGATATACTAGCCCCAAAGGCTCCCTATTCAGTTTGAATGAATAAGACACCGTTGAAACACACATCATTATCCAATGTATCCATTCATCTGCAAAACCCTTTTTTTCATAATTTGCTCCAAGAAACTCCATTCAATGCGATTATAGGCCTTACTAATATCCAATTTCAGCGCCATTACTTCGTTCCACCCATTATTCTTCCTATGTATGTAGTGTGCAATTTCCGAAGCTACCATACAATTATTGGAAAATAACCTTCCCGGTATAAAGGCACTTTGCGAGGGTGAAATAATTTCCGGAATAATGACTTTCAATTTGTTAGTAAGAACCTTGAAGCAAATCTTATAAATCACGTTACAAAGACTAATCGGCCGAAGTTGAGTCATTTTTGTGGGATTAATTTTCTTTGGAATCAAAGTGGCATGGGTATAATTGATCTTCCTAACCATATGACTCGATGAAAGAACATGTCTTACCCCATCACACATATCTTGGCTGACAGTCTTCCAATGCTTCTGATAGAAACCCAATGACATACCGTCAGGTCTTGGAGCTTTAGTCGGATGCATTTTAAACAACGTATCTTTAATTCCTCATTCAAAACCTACCGTAAAAGCTCTTGATTCATCTTTGCAACACTCTGGGAGTCACAACCCTCAATATGTCCTACACATCCACCGCACCTTGGGAGTCAAAGAGTTTCAAATCCACAATCACTGCTTCCATACCCCTCTTGTCTTCATGCCACACCCCTGCGTCATCAAATAACCCCGGCAAAGCATTCCTTCGCTGTCTTCAAGTAGCCTTCTAGTGAAAAAAATTTTGTGTTTTGATCCCCAAGTTTTAACCAATTTTATTTTGACCTCTACCTCTAGAACGCTTATTCCTCTGCCTACAAGGATTGCAACCGGGTATTTAAGTCATATCGTTAGGCTGTGGTTGTTTCAGTAAAGGGTCTTCCAAATAATGCATTCAACTTATCCTTCGTTTCAGAAATTTCCCCCGAAATTGAACGCTTCGTTGATTTGGCCCAATTAGCTAATTGTAATTGTGTCACCTTAATCTTCTTCGTGACTCGAAACATTGGGGAGCCATGAAACACTGTCCCCGACCCTTGTTGTACCGCAGCTCCACAACCCTTTTCCACTGACCACCATTCCTTATACCGAAAGGTTTTCTCGAATCTAACTTGGTTTTTTGGCATCCATTCTAACAATATAGGTATATGGTCTAACGAATTTGGCTTCAAATGAGAAACTCAAAACCCAGAGAACACATCCATCCAATTCTGCATCGCTACAACTCTATCTAATCTTACTTTAATTCCCCCAAACCGTGTAATGACCCAAGTAAATTTATTTCCAACATACCCCAAATCTTGTAACTGGCAACTAGTAAAGGCATCTTAAAAACTTTCCATTTGACGTTCACTATAGATATCACCAGCTTCATGCTCATGTGCACACAAAATCTCATTGAAATCCCTCATACAACACCACGGCAACTCCGAATTATCACGCAACCTTTGAAGCAAACTCCAAGATTTGTGCCTTTCTGTTTCCGTCAGAAAGCCATAAAAGAAAGTAAGTCTCCGATGATTAACATCACCTATTCCTCCTACCTCCAAATCAATATGATTAGGCGAATACAACCTTAGCAGAAGGTTAGCCTCCGCTCGCCACATAACACACAGCCCCCCAGACCTTCCTAAACTCGAAACAGTAAACATAAAATCAAATTTTAACTGTGATTTTAACCTCTCCATATGCTCCTTCGAGCTCTTTGTTTTGCACAGAAATATCACCATAGGATCGTTAAAGAGAACAAGTCTCTTGAGCGCCCGAATTGCCCAGAGTTTCCAATCCCCCGGCAATTCCACCTAATACAACTCATTGGACTCGGCGGGGCTGATCTCTGTCAGCCTCCGCAGCTATAAAATTCAGTGAAACAGAATCTACATGCCTCTTTGTGGTCTGGAACAACCCATTTTCCTCTTTCTCACGTTGTCCCCTTTTTCCTAACTTTGAAAAGATAACACATTTGGTTTTACTGCCTATATTTGTTCCTGCAAGATGCCCTTCCTCCTGATTGATAACCATGTTCAGATCTCATGTCAAAGATGAATGGTGCTAAATTGAAAGGGTCGGAGTCTATGGACCGAGGAGAATCCCCCGTTCCCTTGCCAATTCTCCAAAGTCTTCACTCGTCAATGATAACACGATATTCTCTTCACCACCCCTGCGTTTATTGGCTTACTCCCTCATCTCCTACACTCAGTTCAATCTTAAACCCAAACAACCGTAATGGATGCCTTATACCTGGCACTATCTCAGCTCTCCTAACATCTATATGCCCCATGTGTTGTCTACCTTGCTCCCTCGGTAAAAAAGGTATCAATGCCAAATTATTGACCTCGTTGTCCTGAGTGTAGATTGCCTCGTTCAAGTCCGGTATTGAGTCATTTCCTATCCCATGTATCCTTGTCTCCACCAGTTCGCTCCCATCCTCATCCATGGGTTCATCTATCTCCTCCGCCAGCAAACCCCTCATTATCCAGCCACATTCCGCGTCTAAACCAAAGCGTTTCCCAGCATGACGTCTATAATCCTTATCAAGCACGTCCATCTAGAACCATCTACCATACGATTTTGCCTTATCATCCAATTGTTGTCTTTCATAGCAATCACATTGGTCTTCAACATGGTCCACTATTCCACAAAGAAAGTAGGTGAACGGTAATTTCTCATACCTAGCATCAATTTGCATTGGCATGCCTTCCAACTGTAAATTCACAAACCTTCTCAACAACTTTCTCACATCCAGTTGCACCAACACTCGAATAATACTACCATACTATTCCTCCTTGCGACTTTGGTCCATCAGGATATATTCTCCCAGCAAGTTCCCCAAAAACTTCCTCATAGGCCGAGCCATATGGCAAAAGGGTAAACCCTTAAAGTGCACCCAAAATTCCTGAAAATAGAGTGGGATCCGAGCTGGGTAAGCCAAATTGTCTGCCTTTCCAAGCACCAATAGATATTGCTTATTATACAACCAAGGCCCTCCTCGAAGAATGGTGTTACGTTCCTACATGGAATTAAATCCAAATGCAAAATGATCATCCTCCAAATCCGTCACCACTACATTTTCTTTAGGATGCCAAAGGTTTCACATTTGCCATTTAAACCCTTCCTTGTTCACCAGTTTGTGTAATAACACCCTTCCCACAAGGAAGATTCTCGATGACTTCAACGTAGTGGTCTCCATCTTATCCACAACAATCACCTTTTGCTCTTCCTTTGTGGTCACAAAACGGCTTGCAAACTTTGCTATCAGATTCTTCATTGCCATGATACTCTTCGTAACCCAACCCCACATTCGCGCGTCGAAAGGAAACACCGCACGATACCCTTACAGAGCCTTCCCCAAACCATGAATTAATCAAAACCCCTAAGAAGGCCTAAACCTCCCTGCATCACCGCACTAAATAATGGCAGCCGGAAACTCAAACGAAATCCCAAGATTTCTGTTCGTCGCTAGCCACTCTCCTAGGGTTTAGGAGAAAGCCTAGAGAGCTTGTTTTGTTTATTTTTCCTGATAAGTAGTCTCTTTTGTTCCTGTATTTAATTAAGTTTTAGAGCAACACAAATAATTAAGTAGCCATATAACAATGTTTTATATAGTTTTGTGGAGTCTAAAAGTTCAATTCGGTACTTAGGTCTTATTTGTATTTGTACTCTTTATAAATATCATGTATTAGAAGCCATTGTTAGACTTGAATGAATTAAAATATTTTTTGCTTTGTGCAATTGAAGTGAGTTGTTTCTCTATCTAAAATCAAGTGTTTGGCTTGGTCGTGTGGGCGAAGCCACGGTTCGCAACGTCGAGCGAGCTCTGTTGCCCCTAGTTGAGTGATTCCCAGGCTATCTCCCTCAGTCATTTGGTTCGTCCTACATCATATTGTGACATGGTGCTAGACATGTATTCGGTGCCTTTATCTGATCTTAGAGTTTGAATTTTGGAACCAAATTGGGTGATGACAAGATTATAAAAGTCTTTGAACATATTGACAACTTCACGTTTAGACTTCAAAAGATACAACCAAGTCATTCTTTTAAGATCATCAACAAATGTTACAAGGT